GAGCTCGTGCCTGTGCCATTCAGTAGTATTTAGTAAATTGAACTTTTGTATAAAGGTCTTAGAAAATGGCATGCAGAAAATGAATGTCTTCTTGCTGCTAATTTTATCTTCCACCGCACGCTCCTTTCTGGAGATTAAAGCATTATGAATCTATTCACTACTGAAAGTTATTTCAACTTTCATTGCACATATCAGGATGCAGAAAAGCAAGTACATGTTCACAGCTGTTCCTCAGGTCTCTCTGCTGGAAATACAACCTGTTAAGCTGCTAGATTTTTGCTTAAAATAACTAAAAATAATGAAATAAAACAATTAACTGCTGAATCCTCATTAAATACAAATACTGAAATAAATAGTACAGCTAGGTAATTGACTGCATATGTAAACTAGTGGTAGATAATTGACATGACCTTCATTTAACGAGCCTCCATCCCATTAGTAGAGACGACTGCCACAATTACGTGCCCTTATTCTAGCTGTAATTGTATGGACTTTATTGAAGTACAAACTAGGTCACGTCTTCCTGAGATCTGGTCCATGGTGGGTGACCTGTTTTCATTGCTTCAGCTTTGCTATGCTACATGAGAGAAGGAGGGATGTTCTTGCAGTGATGAGAATGGATGTCGTTCAGGAAACCAGTCTCAAATGTTATTTCATCAGAGATGTCTTGTGTGACCTGGGGGAGTAGCTTAAGGCTAGGTCTTGAGGAGGCTAGCATACGTCTGTTTTAAATAGCTTCTATCTATTTTCTACAAGTTAGTAGGTGTATACAACAGTCTATGGGGCAGCAATTGAATGAAGATTTCCTCTCCTAGAGCAGTCTTTGATCTTTTATGCCTAGTTACGTAGCTGAACAGGAGGAGTCCAAAAGCTGCAGCCTTTAGTTGTCATTGCTGGAAGGTGGGGAGTAGAGACCTGAACCTCCTACAGCTGAGAAGGAAGGGATTGGATGCATGATAGGACTACAGACTGAGGCTGTATCATCAGTGATTTTATTTTGTATTTTTCTAGCTGCATGCCTGACTAAAAGTGGCCATGGCTACTCTGTTTTGTCTGGCATTCAGTTGTATTGATGCCCTCAGAACACGTGGTGTCAGCCAGGTTGCTCCAGTTAAGAAATACTCAGCACTGGTGAGCCTCTGTGGGAAATAGTTGCTCAGTCTACTAGAGTAGCATCAGGTGTGGGTGTATGCAGAAGTCCTGGGACATCTCCATGCAAGGCCTCGTAGTGGTGGATGAGCCCAGCACGGAAAGGGGCAGTACCTTGCTCAGTAGTAGCATGCTGGGAAACCAGGAAAATAACAGCTTTCTCCCGTGTTCCCACCCCAGTTCCACTTCTGTGCGGGGTGGCATGGTGACTTCCTTGTAATCGGAAGGGTGTACGTAATCTGTTAGTGTTTGGGGTTTACAAGGCACTTATTGTAACAGGACAGGCAGTATCTTTAATCTTTGCAATATAATGAAGGTTTGATAGTTGGGGAGCAGAGGAAAAGGACTGGAAGCTGCCATCCAAAGTGTTTCCAATGACCTTTTTGGTGCTGCGTTGGGATATTAGTCCTGCCTCACTAAGAAAGAGATGAACCATGCATTCATGAGTCAGTTCAATAGTAGCTGAAAGGTTGTGTGTTTCTATCCATGGAGGGAAATTTACATCTTATTCTGCTACAGCATGATAAACTAGGAGATTTTGAGCAGCTGTTACTAGAAATTGCTATGGCCTCTAAAATGAAGAGATTTCCTAGGTGTTAAAATATTACTTCCTCATATTAAATCACTTGATACCATTTGGCTGCCAAAGACAAGGACTGTGTAGATTGCTCAAGTCACTGTCAAGATAGAGAAAAGAATCTTTTCACATCCTGCTTGCACAGTTCAGCTTAGTCTGGGACTCATTTACAAAGAAGTAGATGTTTGATCTGTGTTTGCTTGCTAGCAATTTTCTATGTGTCTGTGCTGCTAAAGCTTACTTGGACATACTCTCCTTCTGTTAAAAAGGGAGGAAGAGGGGTGGCTTTTAAGGGAACACATTTCCTTGTGTATTACCAGTATGTTATGTGGATAGTGGCTGTCTTAAAGTTGCTGGTTTTCAGAGCCTAGTTGTACATTGTTTCTTGCTACTCCAGATAATAGTGGCGGTCATATGTCATCAGATTGGATGTAAATTGATCAAGCTTGACAGCAGTTTCCTTCCTAAATGGAAGGCAAAATTGATTCAGGAAGGAATAATTTGATGTAAGATATAAAGTACTGTTAGATCTGGTGACCAACCAGCCATTGGTGGAGGATGCTGAGGGCTTATTGAAGTCAGTTGGTGAGGCTTCTCTGCGCCTCTCTGTCCTCTGTCGTCTTCCTTGCAAGAAGAATGGCCATGGAAATGAAGTTGCACAGCCACCATTCTATTCATTTGACATCCCTCCCAAGTTCATTGCTACCATAAGAAGTAAACGGCCCAATGACAATAGTGAAGGATGTGGCCTGGTCCAGGAATCCTTCTGTCCTTTGGTCACCTACCTAACTAATCAAAGCAAATGTTCAGCCTCCAAGTGGTGCACTTAACTGATGAGTGCAAGCTGCTGCTTCTCTCTTTTGTGCTTGTCGTGGTGCCTCTGGTGTTGTGTCCTCTCTCTTTTACACTGGAAGGCCTGTTGAGGTACTACGTGCTCAGACAGAGTCTGTCCTCCAAAGTCAAGATATTGGCTGGGACCTCTGGGCACTACTCTAATAAAAATAACAGGAACTTGATTAGGAGCCGGAAGATCTGTGTTCTGTTCACTGCTCTGGTGGTCACGAAGTGTGATGTGGGTGTTTGGGGTTTTTTTTCCTTTTAAGTTTTATATAAAACAATTCTCAGAAGAGGGAGTGTATGAATATTATTATTTTTGTTGCCTGTTCCACTGGCTCTACATTTGTATGCTAGCTGAACCACCCCTTCTCCCTCTTGTCTTGTCTCTCCTTGTTTGATAAAGGAAGACTGATAACCTTCCTTGTGTTGTAAATCATCTCTGTAGTGTCTCTCTTCCTCCCCTTTGAGGAAGAAATCTGTTATTACTCCCTGTAGAATGTTTTAAAAATCCTAGGATGAAAAAAATCTGCAAAATATTAATGTTCTGCATGGTTAGAGCAAACACTGTGTTCCTCTGAGTCACAGATGTCAGGTTTGTTTAAACTTAATAAATCTATGCCACAATAACACTTTTAAACAGGAAGAGAGATGGAGGGATGAAGGAAGAGTTGTGCTGGGGTAGAGAAGATTCTTAGCCAAAATCTTGGGGGGGGGTGCTGGGGGTGAGAGGGGCATGGACACAAACCCAAACACCACCCCCACCCCCACCGACTTCATTAAGTAAACTTTGAGACCTACATTTTGGGCACTGCCTTTCTAGTACATATTTCACTTTCTTTGTATGTTTTATGATAGATTGTCTTTCCATGTTCAAGTCTTAAGAGTACTAGTTTCCCACAGCATATTTGCAGGAGATGAAGTAAGGCTTTTTACATAGCACCCTGTTGGCAAACAGAAATAGCATTTACTCCAATGAGCGCTGCCAAGTATGAGGTACTTCCGAATGAACTTCAAAAGCTCTGAAACAAGCATTAGCTGCTTCTTCAAAAATGTGAACAATGCCATTGCTTTCTAGCAAGCAGAACTGGTGAGAGCAGGGATCGGAAGGAGGAAAAATAACAACTGGATGTGATGGATGTTGTAGTAGCACTTGGGATCAGACAGAAAGCATAGCTCTGTCACTGCAGGATTTGGGGGTTCTTGCTGTAATAGTACCTGAAGTGTGTACTCTGCACTTGAGGAGGAAACAATTTCTACCCTGAGGAACACACAATCTACGGAGACTTAGTAAGGCAGTTGGGAAGGAGCAGTTACACAAGCCCAGGCTGTTGGGAGTGCTGGTAGGAGTGAGTCGTGCTGATTCCAAGGCCAGTGAGGAGTTTCCTTCCTGGCACTCTTGCCTGGTGCCACCTCTCCGTGCTCAGTGAGGACAGAGCCAATCGTACACGTAAGCCTCAAAGCGTGGCCCATTACATGTGCCAGAACTTGGGGCAGAACGTGAGAGAAACAGGCGAACTGCTCTGTTTTAAGATGGCAGTAGGGCTGGTTGTGCTTCTGGTTTTCATGCTGAGCTCTGAGCTTTAACTGGGTTTAAATAGGTGCTTTGCCCGCTTGAGAGCAGGTGGTATGGGGATCTGGGGAAGTACGGTACCGCGTTTCAGTATGGCTCTTTATCAGCTCTGCAATGCAGCAAGTCCCTTCCATGGCATTCACATCATGCAAGCAATCTTTCCAGCTCAAATGCTGGACCGTTTTTTGTTCTATGTTTATGCATACGTACCTTCTACTTTTAGATGAGGAACTGACCTGCTGAGACCTCAGAATTTGTATGGCCTCTTCCTGTGTTTTGAAGGTTGCTTTCAAAATACAAATGCGATTTATCCTGGTGCTGTTCAGTTTCTTGTGGATAGAACGATGAAATATTTTTGGCGTAGATAGATCTTAAAAATCAAATATTTGTATTTGCACTTGAAATGGAAGTCTTGCCTTTCACGCTTGCGAAGCAGCCTTTTACTGCTGAAATGTCGCATTGCTAAATACCAGTTCTGCTTTTGCTGTTACTTGAAATAGGTATAATCAGGCAATAAATAAGGAGCTTGCATAGTATCTAATCTAATACTTACTATAGAAAGACTTTGGCACGTAAGAACTCTGACTTGCTGGTATCAGTGTTGCCTGAGCTTTGGCATATGCTTTATCTGAAACTCTAAATCAAAGAACACCCTTGTACGAGAGTATGCTTTATCACCAGTAATGAGTTGCGGCTGCATGCAGCAGATCTCTGCAGAAAATGCATAATGTCTCATGACAACTCAGGTGAATTTTTATTACTCTGTCCCTTGTAAATTAAATATCTTTTTTTTTCTCTCCCCCACCCCCCCATTTCTTGTTTTTTCCCCCCCCCCCCCCCCCCCCCCCTTGTTCATGTCTTTTAACAGTTCCACCAAGTGAGAAGAGTGATGACCATCCTTTTCCTTACTATGGTTATCTCATACTTCAGTTGCATGAAAGCTGCCCCGATGAAAGAAGCTAGTGTAAGAGGACAAGGCAGCTTGGCTTACCCAGGTCTTCGGACCCATGGGACTCTTGAGAGCCTAAATGGGCCCAATACTGGTTCAAGAGGACTGACATCACTGGCGGACACTTTTGAACATGTCATAGAGGAGCTTCTAGATGAGGACCAGGACATCCAGCCCAGCGAGGAAAACAAGGATGCAGACTTGTACACATCCCGAGTCATGCTAAGCAGTCAAGTGCCTTTGGAACCCCCACTGCTCTTTCTGCTCGAGGAGTACAAAAACTACTTGGATGCTGCAAACATGTCCATGAGGGTCCGGCGCCACTCTGACCCAGCTCGCCGCGGGGAACTGAGCGTATGTGACAGCACGAGCGAGTGGGTGACGGCAGCAGAGAAAAAGACTGCAGTGGACATGTCCGGGGCGACTGTCACAGTCCTGGAAAAAGTCCCAGTACCCAAAGGCCAACTGAAGCAATACTTCTATGAGACCAAATGCAACCCCAAGGGGTACACAAAGGAGGGCTGCAGGGGCATAGACAAGAGGCACTGGAACTCCCAGTGCCGAACTACCCAGTCTTACGTGAGAGCTCTCACCATGGATAACAAAAAGAGAGTTGGCTGGCGCTTTATAAGGATAGACACTTCCTGTGTATGTACATTAACCATTAAAAGGGGAAGATAGTGGATTTGTGTTGTATAGATTATATTGAGACAAAATTATCTATTTGTATATATACATAACAGGGTAAATTATTCAGTAAAAAATAATTTTATGGACTGCATGTATAACTGAAGTTTATACAGTACAGTGGTTCCACAATCTATTTATTGAACATATCCATGACCTGAAGGGGAACAGAAGTCATTTGCGCACAAGTTTAAAAAAAAGAAAAAAAAAACACACAAAAAAAAAGAAAAACAAGCAAACAAGTCTGCATTACATTCCTTGATAACATTGTGGTTTGTCGCCGTTGCCAAGAATTGAAAATACAAAAAGTTTAAAAAAAAAAAAGAATAAAATTGCATGCTGCTTCAATTGTGAATTGATGATAAACTGTCCTCTTTCAGAAAAATAAATTGAACCAAAACATTCCGTTTACATTTTAGACAGTAAGTATCTTTATTCCTGTTAGTATTATATCTGTTTACTGCTTTTAACTTCTGATAGCGTTGGAATTAAAACAATGTCAAGGTGCTGTTGTCATAGTTTTACTGTTTCTCTTTTACTTTTAAACTCCCATCAGATTGAAAAAGAAAAAAAAAATCATTATCTTATTCTGGATTAAAATCAAATTTGTTTTTTGTATGTTGTGAAGGTGTTTGCAATAGCAATCCAACTACTGACAAAAAAATAATAAAAAAAAGAGGCAACTGAAAAAGAATGGTGATGTTCCACTTCACATTGTTGAACTTCAGGCTTAAAGACAGCACTTAGTTAACTGTATGGCAACATGCTTTTATTGGGTTATTTTCTTTCTTTTTTTTTTTTATTTGCTGTCTTTTGAGACCTGCATTTGCTTATATCATGTTTGTTTGTGTTTGGGTTTTTTTTCCCTTTCCTCCCTCTGGAAGGATGTTGGTTGTCACCTTTAAAATATTTCACTTACCATACAACTGGAGCTTGTCATATAGAAAGTATTCTACAGAGCGTGGAGAGCAATGATTTTCATGTAATAAAAGACTTTGTGCTTGGATCAGATGTCTTGGTGAAGGACAAGAAGAATGTCACTAGAGAAGGGTCTAGCAAGGTGATAGTGGAACTGACATCAGGTCGGTCGTGGGACTGGGTAGCTCAGCCAGTTCAGGGACAAATAACTGTGTTGGGCTGACTGGGGCTATCCAAATCGTAGCCGGCACTGAATGTGGTCCTGTGCATCCTCTGCGAGTTGCCTTGTACGCTGATGCAGGCAGCACAGCCTTACCCTCCGGAGCTTGTCTAGCAGCCCCAGGCTGGCACAGCGTGGTGTGCAAACTGCAGTGGCATCCCTGCCCGAGATTGCTGGGGAAGGAGGCAGGAAGAGGCCCTGCCTCTAGTTGAAAGCAATTAGCATTTATGTTCGTGTGGCTCTACCTCTGCTGTCAGCCTTATTTTATGAAACAAATAGTGGTGTAAAAAAGAGTCTTGAAGAGCAAGTGCTGGAGGAGTTGACTTAATGTTGCTTAGGTATTTAGCCCTGTGCTACCCTTCTAACTATCCTGACAGAAGTATTTCTAAAAAGGCGGGCTGTAAGCCAGAGCTGTGCATAGCATTTGCGCTGACTACGGCGGGCTGAGAGGCAGAAATAGCTCATTAGTGAGCTCGCTGAAGGCAGATGCTGTATTTGTAATTCCTATAGATGAAGAAAACTAGCTGAACAAAGAGGAAGATACTGCAAAACATAACTCCTTCTGAATGCTGCAGAATCTGCCTTGCTGCTGAAGTTAATTACAAACCTGGACTGGGCAAAGCTTGGTTGAAATGTGATCCCCCATGATAATTCTCTTTGAAGAGTAGATTTAGGGCTGAGTTTATGTCATTACTAGTAGAAACCCATGCTGGAAGACTAACAGAGACACCTTCAAAATCAGTGCTTTCTTCTACTTAGGGTAGAAGGGCTTCTCCTTCCCTAGGATAACTGTCAGAGGAGAACCACCCCAACTGCACAAGAAAACCTTTTGCATTGGCCATGTGCTCACTGGACCATGAATGAGAAGAGAGGGTTGTGCAGCCCACCTGAACTTCAAACTTCAGCCTTCCCAATCAATTGCAGATATTCAGGCTCCCACATAGAAGTGAAAAAAAAAAAACTTACTGAAATGTCTCAAAACTTCAACTGAAGTATTCTTCATGCGCATTGAACATCAGTGCGATGGAGAATTTCATTTCACTCTGGCCAGTACCTGCACGTGTATTATAATTCTTTGCTTTTAATGACCCAGACGTGGCTCAGGAGTATTCCTAAACTACAGCAGAGAGATGGTGTAACGGTGGCTCCCCTCAAAACCAGGGTTGGTTGCTTAGGAATGGGTAAAGGATGATGCTAATGAGTGAATAACAAGCAGATCGCTCATCTAGACTGGAAAAGAAATGGCAGCTAGGACATGACAGTAATCTAATTCAGATACAGGAATGACATCATTCCCAGTTCAAATAAATTGAATTTCCAAAAAAGAAGTGTTAATGCATAAATCATGCTAAAGTTCCTCATGTCCCAAAGTTAATTATGGCAATATCCTTAAGTCAGAAGTGCTCACCTGGCATAGGTAAGGGAGGCACCGGTGTGGCAGAATTCAAACAGCGGGATGGTAGGTTCAGAGGGGTAAAGGGCAGCCCACGCGGGTGGGGGACGAAGGGGTGGAGCTGAGAACCAACCGAAGAACCGTGTCCTGTAACTGCCTCTGGAGTGATAATCCCATAATACTACACCAGTTCCATGCCTGTTGGTATAACGGGAAACTGGCAATTAAACTGCAGTCCCATGGCTCTCACCTGCCTGACTTAATACATCCATGATCACAGGCTTGGCAGTTTTAGTTAAAACAGAGATGGGGGGGAGGTTGGTTTTCTTTCATGTCACTTAATTAAACTCTTGCTGTGGTCTGTTTGTGACAAAGGTATATCATGCATGTCAGCAGGCCTAGTGCTGTGTTAAAGTAAAGACTCTTGCAACTGTAAGTTAATGTCTGTGGCCTTGTTCTCTATTATTCACCTTGTGTAACATAAATATTTATTGTATATTTATATAATTTTATGTTTTTTGGGAAAAACTGAAATTGGCATTAAAATTTAAAAGCAACTGCGTCATATTGTAAATATAATTAAGCTATATTTAAGTGTACTGATTAACATAATATATGTTTAACTATAGAGTTTTTTATGTTTTTAAATATATTTTCAAAATATATATATAAAACTTGGGGTTTTTTGGGGGACCATGTGACTCTTTTCTCTAATTGTAAAACAAACTTGAGTTTTACTATAAAGATGTGTGTTCTTTGTTTTAAAACAATTTTTACTTTATTTTAGCAATAAAATCTCACTCGGAGGGCAGATAGCCCCCTGTTTCATAGCCAAACAGTTAGCATTGGGAGGGGAGGGGTGGCAAGAATTTACTTTGCATAAAAGTTGGGGATACTCACAGAATGATGTATTTCCATTTAATTCTAGCACATAAGTCCTCATGAGACTAAAAACCCATGAATGACACATATATATGATTTGATTCAGTCATAAAATAATGAGCGTAATGGAAGTGAGGGGAGGGGTTACTAACCTTAGTAACTAAGGAATAAGTGAGACATAAACTCAATAGCTGTAGTCCAGTCATGTACCTGAATTTTAAATGGTGTCATGTGTATTTATGTCCCCTGTGCTGAACTTATTTATGACCCTGCAGGGCACTAGGAGTGGAATTCCTTGGATTAAACATATTGTTAGCATTTCTAAAAGAATATGCTCTACTATAACTGCCAAGCCTTTGTATATTTAATTATCCCATAGCCCTAGAACAATCAATAAATCTTCATGATGAATAGAAAATTTTCATATAACTTAAGGGGGAAAAAAGCACAAACCTAAACTCTTAAAATTCCACTGCTGCAAATTTCCCAAGAGCCCAGCGCCAGCACCGTCTCCACAAGAACTGAGGAAATGGTGCTTCTGCAGATTATCATTTATATTAAACACACATGCGTGCACATTGCTTGCTTTATTGTTGTCTTAAAATAAGCTAACGGAAGCAGTAACAGATACTCAAACTGTTGGCGTATGGAAGGATGGGGCCGCATCATTACTGCGCCATGTGCCTGCTCCTGGCTGCAGAAGCCGGCTCCGCTCGGACCCTGCCTCCTCCCCTAGACAGGACAGAGATGGGTGAGGTTGCTTTAGCTTATTTTACTGTTAAATACATGCCATAGGTACCTGGGGAATGAAATGGGCCCCCTCAAAATACATATTTGAACTACAGAGGAAGATACAGGAGCTAACTGTTCATCCATACGCTCTACTGAATCCTAGCACTGTAGGGGAAAAGAAAGATATTGCCATAGCTTTTATCACTTGAAGCAGAAATAAAGGCATAGCTAGACTTTTAAATTACTCAGCCAGAGAACAATAGCAAACAGTAAAAGAAGACTTTTTCTAAGAGAATATCAAGGCTACATTTAAGTGCAATGAGAAGGCGAGGACATTTATTTCAATTTGTTCCAGGTGGATCCAATACACTGCTTCCACAGGCTACTTCTCCTAATTAAGATCTCATTGAGAAGACACCTTCTGACAGGGCAATTAAAATTAAAAAGGAATGGATGCACATGTTTGGAGTAAATATAAAGAGCACCAAGGCCTCACCTTGTGATGCAATTTTAAAATTAGGAAGATTCTGCAGGGGGTATTTTGGAAGAAGAGAAGATTTTTCTGAAGCTTTTTCTTGGGTGGGTTGGTGGGGGTTTTTTTAACCACTTGCTACCATTTTGGGTAGTCAAAGACTGTGGTTTCAATATAAATCAATGGAGTTGAACTGATAGTTTTTTTTTTTTTTATGCCTGTGGGAGAAGAAGGCCTGGAGATGGTATGAGAGGGTCCAACTTTTCCAAGCAAGATTTGGATTCACTTGTGGAATTTGACATGCTTCTGGAAATTAAGTCTTTTAAATTTCATCCTCTTAGATGGCGGCAGAAAGTACTCAGAGGTAAGCTGCTCTTTGCTACACCAACCCTCTGTTGAGGGACACAACACGTAGCTGCTGGTTTTTGCTTTGCTGTGCAAGAATGAGTCTCTAAAACCTGTCTGAAACCTGATCACTTCTCTCAGGGGTGGTCCATACTGAAGTCACAAATATGTATATGTATTTATCTAGATGTAAAACCTCTATTGGTACTACTGGTTGGCCTCTGTTGATAAGGCTGGTGCTGTGTTGTTGACTCCATATGGGATTGCAGCCA